TAACTGTGTGTCCATATTTCATGCACTCTGCTGTATATATATATATATATATATATGTATGTGTCAGTAATCCTTAGTAACATCTAATTAAGTTTTTTTTTTTTTTTTGCCTCTGCCTCACTTTTTACCACAACACATGTATAACAGCCCTATAGACCGGACCGTCAGAGTTATTCATTTAAAAACGTCCACATTGCAATATTGTAATTACACGCAATCAAAATTAACTTTACCTCGGTATGAAATGTGAAAGAAAAAAAAAAAAAACAAAAAAACAAAAAAAAAAAAAAAAGAGGAAAAATATCGCGTTTTTATACATTATTTAGATTTACGGGGGGAAAAAAAAACAAATTTCTCCAGGGGGCGGCTTTGAAGTGTTTATGGTGTAAGTGTAAAAAACAAAAAATGAAATGAAACCCTTTGCTTGTTTATCAATTTTTTTATTTTTATTTTTTACGTTATGATTAATATGACGACAACTTTTAATTGGAAAAATATTGGTTTTTCGCCTTCTCTCGCAAAACATTTCAATAACAACTTAAATTTAATTTTTATATAATACATTATACGATTTTATATCGTCTAATGATGGCGATGCTGTGGATCATCATTACCTATGCGTATTAAAAAAATTCTCAATTTAAAGACTATTGCAATTAATTTTTTCCTTTCCTTACGTCCTTCCATCGGTAGGTAATATTTATATTTTCCCAACGAACCGTTCTCAAAGTGTGTTTTTTTAATACGTACAAAATAATACACATACATATACACAACAACAAAGAGTTTAAAATTCATATAATTGCATTATATACAAAAGCAAGTAATCAAGTTATGTTTATATCACGGCGTTGCTTTGATATCTGTGCGTATCAAATTCAAAACAATGCATAAAAATTTTGTTTTTCGCCGATCGAAATCAGTCTCACGCTGACCGTTTAGGTGCTTTCCGTTTAGGTCCATTAAAAATTCTGTGGGGCAGATTGTAGGCAGTGTCCTCTATTAAATAAATTAAAAAATTTATGGAGTTTTTTCATCAAACATCTGTCTTATGTTTTAACTGGCATTTGGATCGAGAAGTGTTTCCGGAGCTCATGGGACTTCTGGGCGAAAAATCGAAACGCGAGATTGGCATGGGCTTTTTACAAGTTAGCTTCACATCCGTTAAGAGAGTTTGGCAGACAATGAAATAAATAGCGGCCGAATAAAGCAGTTCCGGTTCATGCAGTCGATGCATTAGAAATTTTCATTCGTTATATTATTAAAGGGGATGGGTGGCTGATTTTTTCTATTTTGTAGCTTATCACGATAAGCAAAGATGTTCATTGTTTTTCTTTCTCTATAGATGTGTGGGTGTTGCAGACGCGTTCTTTGAAAAATTTGGATCATTTTCAAACTCTTTAGTAAATTTGTAGGCGATATCTTCATTTTTGCGAACGGGAGAATTTTTACCACAGTTTTCAACATAGTTAGACAGCCTATTGGACGGACATGCTTAGGTGTATTCCGAATCTGTGAGTGGCCAAAAATGGGGTTGATGGACTTTGCTTCTGTGCGTTATAAAAGATCAGAAAAAAAAAAAAAAATTTAATTATGGTACACCATAAAATAAAAAAGGCGTTGCCGATTTTTTTTTAATTTTTGTAGAGTGTCGCCTATAGAATATGCGCTGAAATTATGGCAGGTTTATCGGTCGTAGTTTATGAGTAATGAGGAAAACATCAGCGTTTTACTCCTGTCCTCAGGTCTCCTCAGTTTACAGTACAAACTTGCAATGTGCCCACAGCAACATTGCGTAGTATATGAAAGGGACGTAACACGACTTTCAAAGATCTGAAAGAGATATGTGAAGTTATATCCTTGTATTAAGAAGAGAAGTTTCAATAATGCATAAGGAACCCGATGATAGGCTTCATTTAGGTTTTTATAGGGGGACCAAAATGTAATAAAAAAAAAAAAAGAAGCTCGCAATTGAGTTTGCATTGACTAAGCTCTATAAATATAAGACTCCTTGACGGACGGATAGGAATATTGAAGTTTATAACATTTAAGCAAGCCATCAAGGAAATGCTTAGGATACGCCTAAGCCTGCTAAGTGAAAATAAGCGTAAGTTTCGCGGAAAGCACTATTTTACGTAGCGTGATCTGGACTTTGCCATCGTTTGCGCAGCTTCGTCCATGATCGTCTCGCACATTATTGTCATGTGTGACAATTCTTTCACCGCCCGTCATCAGGTACTCGTTAATGATTCACGGATAGAAATCTGATCCATTAAATTATTCGCCATTGATTCATGTGGGCCTTGGATATCAGCCATGTTTTTCTATTCAATCTCATACAGATGGCTCAAAACCGTTTGTTTATTCAGTATTTATTTCCGGAGAGTAGCGCATCTCCCATAGTTTTTAGAACGGATACGAGCGAACCGTTTCGATGTTATTGATATTGGGAAAGCATCTTCACCGTCAACACTACGAGTTATTTCAGAACCATGCGAAGCAAGGAAAAATGTTTGGAGTAAATAATGCGGTCATTGCAGAAACTCAAGTGTATTTTCACCGCTTCGCAATGTTGAACCGATTGTATCATTATCGGAAGAAGTTATGCTGACGATTAAAGTTAAATTTTCCATGTATTTACAATTACAGTTTACTTAGTATTGACAATCGGCCGATCTACCATATAATTAACATGACGTACATAACAGTATTGTTGAAGTGCGGTGTTAATCTAATCAAATCAATGACATATTTTTCATATGTAATGGATCTCTTCTTCAATTTGTGTCTTCGTATTATTCTTATAAAAGCTCAAGTTAGTCGCCAAGCGTGATGCAATAGCTATCATAATGGTCTTGTCTTCTCTTGCCTTGCAAAGAATGGCTCTCATGTCAGTTTCCCTTTGTGCCTGTATATTAATCATATCAAATTTATTAGCTTTATTTCATGCTGACGCTTCGATGAGCTTGTGCGATTTTACAATGATTGATCCAAGACTCGGCATTTGCGAGCATTTACTAGGAGGTAAGCAATTTTTAAGGCGACTCTATTGAATTTCTAAAGCATGAGTTTTGATCAATTCAACTACGTTCATTGCCCTGATCAATCAATCGTCAAGTTATTCAACATGCAGAAGTCTCGACAACTTCTTTCCTCCCGCTACGTTCAGGCATTGAATGTACGCTGGCCATATTTTTTAAATGATTAGTGTGAGTGCATTTTTTAGTTGCTTTTAATATATTTGGGCAATTTCTACAAGTAGCATATTTAAGCCTCAGCTTAACAATTAGTTATTACTTTGTACTTTTCCCTATCTTTCTTGAAATGACTTTACAAAAAAAAATAAAATAATAAATAAATAAATAAATAAACGTGAGACCTAAGCAAACAATAAAAAAAGAGAAAGAACTCTATTTTGCATTAAGGTTTGATAAATTATGCAAATGTATGATAACAACCAACACATGTTACTGAGAGGTATTATTGATGCAAAACACAATTAGTTTATGGTAAAAAGTATGTTAACAATAGGGATTCAGTAGAAGAAGAATATCAAATTACCAAAGAAATAAAAATAACCAACAAAAAAACAAACGATAATTTGATACAAACAACAAATAGGTGGGTACAGGCGCTGTTGTTTGTGTGTACCAATAAGGGTATGAAAATGTATTGAAATATTTTGCATAGAACTGATAGAAATCCAAAGAGCAACGAATAGATAACAACAACAGCATGAAAAATAATTGATAGCTTTATGCAGAGTTTCTTAATCTTCTTTAAATGATGGCTTCATTTGGCTTAAGCTATTTGCTTATATTTCGTTGTAAAACCTTACTCAAGTTACTGTGAGAACCTCTGGCTTAGTAAAAGAATAATACGTATACGTCTGGTAGTGCGGTTAAAATTTACATACACATCAGCGAAAATTAAAAAAAAATACCAAGTAACTCTGATAAGTATTGTTCGGTGTTGTTTCAGATTATTTCTTGGAAGTGTGTGTGTGCGAGAAAGAGAAGACACATAGTGAAAAAAAGAGTATCTTAGCGAAAAATACACAAAATATATGCAGATGTATTTTTTTATTTTATTTCTTTTTATTTTTTTTTTTTCAGTTATTAGAGAGAACTCCCCTTGAAACTATTTCTAATTGACATTCATGTGGGAGTTATCTACGGAGCGAACGTCAGTTTCCTTGTAATTGTGGTTTATGCGGTTTTGCTTCTCTGTTTTACAATTTTCTTTCTTTACCATCAATTTTTTCATTTACAACGACATGATGCTACTTAATTGCTTCTAATATAATTAGAGTCAAATTAAAGACATTAGACAGTAAATGAAATAAGTAGACCGACAAACAAATGGATGCAAAAAAAAAAAAGTAACAAATGTTTTCCTATTGCCATTAAATGAGTTTGTCGTGACAAAAACAACAACGCATCCAAAAATAGAATATAAGAAATGAGATGAAACATTTACCACAATGAATACACATTTTATAGTATTAAAATAATAATAATTGTGTGGGTGGCGGCGATACATCAACCAACCAAGCAACGAACTACCCGCCCCCGTGCATATGCACTGCAAAATTGGATAGATGTCTATGCGTTAAAATTAATGGTGGTTTTACGTATTCCTGGGCGGGCTTGTCGTATACGTGTGTGTATACATTTTCTTAACAGGATAATGGATGCTTAAGTGGTTAAGGCTTTTGTTTTTGTTAAATATCTTTCTTTCCATTTAAGATTCAAAAGTTGACATTATGCCACACGGGAAATGAAAGCAAATTAATTTTAACGTATGCCGCCTTTAAAGAATAGCGAAATATTAATTTTTGTGGGTTTCAATAATAATGTAAATTATGAAAGATTTTCGCACACACAAACTAAATGTCTGATGTTACGTGTGAGAGGGGTTCATCGATCTCAGAGTAGAGGAAATTTTTGTACAAGTCTACTACTTTATCATGGAATTGTTTCGATTTCCACTATTTCTAGCTTTTGTTTCCTGGACTAAATTTTATACGACGTTTCCCAAGGAGCTGAAGCCTATATTTAATGTGAAAAACGCTCATATGGGGCATTTTGCCAAAAGCTTTGCTCTCAAGGAACAGCCGACAGCATTTGCGAGAAAGCATAATGCACCGAAACCGCAACCTCCTACCAATCGATTAACCTATACGGAAAGGTAAATAAATTAAATAAAAATTTTAATTTTGCTTTCGACTAAATTCGTATAAATAATTGTAGAGACGCTGAAAAAATCAAACAGGAAAAGAGAAAAAGAAAGCATCGTTTCGCTAGTACAGTAACCGGAGATGTGCGTAACAGCAACATGCATCATTCAAATTTCCCAAATAAATTAGCAAAAATGATACCAAGTTCAAGATCTTTAACGATATCGGAATTTGATAGTGGAATGCCGGCACCTAAAAAACGTAAACATTAAATAGTGAAATTTTGTTGTTGTTTAAATTCAACTTAAGCTTATCCAACTAGTAAACGATTTGTGTATGAATTTTGCTTTAAATAAAATCGTTAAAAAGCTTTTACAACTAATTCAAGCGTTTAATCGAAAAAAAAAGGAGAAGAAGAAAATATGTTAGAAAAATTGTCTTTCATGTCAACATGGCTGATGGATTCAACCTACGCTTACGAAAGTCTCCATAAAACTCATCCATAATTTGTGTCTATGTGCGCGCGTTTGATGTGCTGAAACTCATAAAAGTTTAACATTTTGTTCTATATATATTTTTTCTTTTTACATTTTTCTCATATATAACTTTTAAGCCGGACATCCTATGGTTTAGTTTCTACAGTGGGATAAAGAAGAGAAAAGTTGTTAAAATGCGTTAAAATACATATTCGATTTTTTTTCTTTTCTCCCTTACTTCCTTTCTCCCTTTACCTCTTGATAGTAATATCTGCGCCAGTTTTTTACTTTTAGCACTTAACGGCGAAGATATATTAATTTTCTCATTCCGTTTGTACACTATGCAAATTTGCAATAGAAATTTTCCAAGATGTACGCTATCTTCATCAAGATCAATAAAATATACCGGCCCAATTTAATCTGACACATCAATCTAGCGTACGTTTACATCGCCTACTTAGATTGCAGCGGCTACAAAAGTTGAAAGAGGAATTTAGAAAATTGCATATAGTCTCTAAACGAAATTCTATAAATTAATTATCAAAATCTGCCGGCGATAATTGAAAAGATGAATAATGAAGAAATTTCAGCAAGAAGATGAACTTTTTAATAATAAATGATTTTTGCTTTAAAAAGTTTAAAATATAAAACTTGAAACTCTGATATTTATTTGTTCTATTCATTCAGTCAGATTTGTATGCACTGGGGTTTTGAACCAACTGGATCTGCCTATATTATTCACCTCAAACTTTATTAACTGATTTTTAATATTTTAAGCAAAAAAACAAAGAAAAACAAAATTAAAAAGTTTCTATTTGCCCGCCCACTGGCACGTTTACAATTAAGAGAAGAACACAAATTTTCATAAATTTACATAAGTTGGCGGGTATCGAGCATTCGCTCTAAAGCGTACATAGCTGTGATTTTGTTTATTTGTTTTTTTTTTTTTTTTTTTTTTTATTCGTGCTTACAATATTATTTTTTTCTTTGCATATAAAATATTAAAAATCCATTTTCCGCTAGATGAGCAGCCATTCAGTTTCGAAAATATGTTGACATTTCCGCAGTTAGTTATATATGCGTACGCATACAAGCGCATATACAAGGCAGACATAGTAAAAGCAAGGCGGACAAGCAATACAGAGAGAGTCTTCAGAGACTGTTTAGGCCATTTTGTAATATCACTTGGTGTGTGATTGTTTCAAGAGGAGGATGAGAAGGAGAAAAGGAAATTTTTTTTTTTTGTAAAAATATTTACGTATAAAGCTATTAAGAACTTTGTATATTTTCTTTGACACGTGTCCCGTTCAGATCAATTGTGCATTTCCTTCTTTAATTTTGCTATTTATTAGGGGTAAAGCGGTGACTTTCATTCCCTTCACATAATTTTTTTTGTTATTTTTGCGCATTTAATTTTCTCATTCATCAGGCAAAGCAAATGTTCCGGTTCTTATAATAAATGGCCTCTGGCCATAGATCTCTTTTAATGTCATCACAGTCATCGCACAGTAACACATCTTTAATGAAAAGAAAAAATCGCTTAATAATTTCTTCATTTATTTATCATAAATCAAATAATTTCTTAAAGGAGTAAATTTGATTTTTCATTTGATAATAAAATGCATTTTTTTTTGTGTATTAATCAAAATACCATATTTTGATTACCATATGTATGTTTAGTGTTGTTTACACTTACATATTAACTCTGTTGCTTTACGCTCTTATTCATCTCTCTATAATTGTCATTTCGTGAAATTATGTAACTCTTCTTTAATAATTTGCATAATTGATCGCAGCACTCTTAGCATTCAGTTCTTGCTAAACTTACGTTGTAGCCGGTTGTGATTTCTATGCATTGTTATAATAAATGTTTGCATTTGACTTTATGCATATTCGTTGAAATCGAAAGCACATAAGAAGTAAAGAAACAGTTAACATCATAAATATTGAATGAAAATAAAATTTTTCGGTTTCTTTTTTTTTTTCTAAACAAAAGATTTCTCTTTGCGCCCTTGCGTGCATGCTTGTGTTATATGATAAATGTTTGCTTACATGCATGTCCATATATATAGCAACGCGGATTTCTTAAAAGAAGAGCGGTGAGCGAATTTTTATTACTCTATTAATATCTGTCTGTTGCTATCGCATGGCATGTATTTAACAGAATCGATTACCTTTGGTCTCTTATTTAACAGAATCGATTATGTTTGATCTGTTATTAACGGGATCGATTATGTTTGATCTGTTATTTAACAGAATCGATTATCTTTGATCTGTTATTTAACAGAATCGATTATCTTTGATCTGTTAAGTTGGGCCTTTAACATTAGCTGCTTGGCGTTAACATTTTTGTTAAGTTGGGCATTTAACCATTTATTTATTATAGGCGACTCTATGCTTTGCCTTTCACCAGGGAATTTAGCGTACGCGCGTATATAATTTTATATTTATAAAGAAACTATTAGCATAAACTGACTCTAATCTCTCTAATCTCTCAAGTCTATATGAATTCCTCCGTTGCTTTTGCAGTTTTATAATAAAGTTAAAAATAATCATCATCGCACACTTATAACAAATAATTTCATGTGTAAACACAGTTTTTATTTATTCCGTTCAAAAATCGATGATAAATTCTTTTTGGGTTTACAATATATTTCTATGTATTTACACACACACTCTCTCTCTCTCTCTCAACTGTGCTCACACTTTTACTGCTAGTTGAAAATGCCACGGGGACTCGGACTTTCGGGGGGTGGGGGAGACCGGGAAAATTGAAGGAATAAAAATTAACGCACTTGCGGTACCGCAATACAGTCGCCTAATTATCTAAAAAAACCCTGATATTTATGATTGCACTTAAGCGCAGTGGATGCATTCCAATCGTAGATCAGAGGACCAAGCGGCATATACGCCTTTTAGCGGCTAATAAAAAGATGAACTAGGCCTGAATGTAACGAGACAACGTGTGCAGGAACTTCTGAAGGACAATATAGGTCGTAGATAAAAATGCCGGTATAATATATGCGAAGACGAATATTGGAGAAATGTCCGATATCCTTGACTAAGGTTCAACAAGTGCACCCATAGTGGTGGATCGATCTCCCATGGCATCGGTTGCATTTAGAAGACGAAGAAAGTCAAAAATGAAAACCGAGACATATATTGACTTGTTATAGAACAATTTAATAGACTATGCTAGAGACTTATATGGTAATAATTGGACATTCCAACCAGGCAACACTCTCATCCATATTGCACGGTCTACAAGGGATTATTTTCAAACACGCAATATAACGTTAGGGAAGTGAGGAGGCAATGAATCGCAATCTCAAACCGATTGACGAGCTCTGGCGTATGCTTTCCGCTAAGATGTTAGATAAAAGTCTAAGTAGTGCTCTACACTTAAGGAATATAATTCTGAAATATTGTCGGAATGTGACAAGATTTATATGACTAATTTGACTACAACTACAACAAGTCCTTATTCACAAAGGCAACAGTATACGATATTAATTACATAATACTGTGTAGTTTAACGATAGGAATTAATATTAAATTTATTTTTTGTACATATAATTATTTTCAATGAGGTGCATATGGTATGTGTTTTTTTTTTTTTTTTTTTTTTTTTTTAAAAAAAAAATTAAAAAATTTCAAATTTTTTATATTTCTAAAGCGCACATAAATACAAATCAGAAAAAAAAAAAAAAAAATTATTCTTCAAGTTTATATTCAAAATAATGCATAGCATATATAAATATTTAAGAGGATTTTTTTTTTGTTTTCTTAGAAAACACAATTTTTCTTGTTAGAACATTTTTGTGCTTTTTATTTAGCGTCTTTTTTTTTTTATTTATTTTTTTTTATATGTATAATAGCTATGCATGCATCGATAAATCTTGTTGTTCTTAGATCGCTTATAACACTTTTATGTTGTTTGCACGCTAAAAAGCGTAAATTTCATCTTTGTGAAGTAAAGTAAAGCATGTTGCAAATCGAATGTCATAGAAATGTTAGTCGTTAGCGGTAGAAATCGCTTTGTTTTCAAAGTTATTGCGACACGTGTCTATGGAATGTGTTTGTTCCGGCTAAGTTGTGTTATATTTTTCACAACTAACACTAAAAGGTTACATAATTAATGGAATATTAACTTAGGAGATTGTTATTTTTACTGTTTGGATAATAAATATAAATAAGAGATTTGTTCTCTTGTCAAAGATCATCTTGCAAAGTTTTATTTGTTTGAAACTATTTTCCCATTAACGTTTGAATTGTTTATTACTTTTGAAATTAGTTTTGAATCGAAATATGATATATACATATATATATATATATATATATATATACATATATATATTTATGCATATAATTTACTAGAAAAGTTCAAATTGAAACAAAAAAAAAAAAATTGATTATAGGAAAAATGTAATGCATATGCATCTATGTACATATAGTTGTGACCATCAGTTAGTATGGTAGATATTTGCCACAAGTGGCTTGATAGCCTTAAGCCACCCAGTCAGTTAAGATCATTCGTCATTCTGGGCCACACTACATGCTAAACCGCATCACCGTCTTTCACTTACACAAATCTAAGTTTAACTCTGACTGACACTAAATACAGGAATATTAATATGTTGCCATTGCCAATGGATTGGTTGTATGCCGACTTGTTCTTATATTATATACAGAATTTTGTGGAGTTTTAATTGTTGGCAGTTTAAAGCAATTAAATGGGTTAACGCCTTAGTGGTTAAATCGTGTTTAAATTGCCAGTCAGACAATGAGTTATATTAATCTTTTCGTTTCTCTGCAAGGATCGATTTGCTTTTGCTCCTGCAGCTGCTTAGTGCAAGAGATGCGGAAGTGTCACTTCTCACTCTCCATCTTAGTCTAGTCTCCCATT